TATGCCACAGGTATTTTAAATACTAGCAGGGTCACCCACAGTAGATAGGTTTCAGCTGAGCTTCCAGGCAAAGGCAGAGTAGGAAGGAGGAGAGATGGACTACTTCTTAATATTTATTTAGTCACTTAAAACCTTATGAATAGCAGTGGACCACTGTCAGCAACAGAATATTGACTACTGAAACATGATGAAGAGCACCAGAATATTGTCAGATGTAGTGCCAGATGATAAACCTCTCAGGTGGAAGGCAATCCAAATGTAATTGAGGAAGAGCTGCCTCCTCAAAGTAGAGTTGACTGTGATGATGTGAATCAAGTAAAGCACCTGGGACCTTCCTTTGCTGATGAGGCACAACTCAAAATGAAGAGAAACAGCTGTAAATATCCATTAATAATCGGAACATAGAATGTACAAAGTATGCATCTAGGTAAATTGGAAATTGTTAAAATGGAATTGCATTCACCATCAAAAAGAACACTTAAAGACATCTTCAAGTACAGCACTGTCTATGATAGGATAATATCCACATGCCTACAAGGAAAATCAGTTAATACCCCTATTATTCACATTTTCACACCAACCACTAAAGACAATGATAATGAAATTAAAGAATTCTACCAACTTCTTCAGTCTGAAATTGATCAAACATGCAATCAAGATGTACTGATAATTACTGATCATTGGAATGCAAAAGCTGGAAACAAATAGGAAGGATCAGTATTTGGAAAATGTAGCCTTGGTATAAGAAACAATGTTGGAGATTGCATGAAAGACTTTTGCAAGATCAATAACTTCTTCATTGCAAATATATATTTTTTAAACAACATAAAAGACAACTATATGCATGAACCTCACAAGATGGAATACACAGAAATCAAATAGACTACATCTGTGGACAGAGACAGTGGAAAAGCTCGATATTATCAGCAGAAACAAGGCCAGAGGGAGACTGTGGAACAGACCATCAATTGTTCATATGCGAATTCAGACTGAAGTGGAAGAAAATTAAAACAAGTCCACAACAGCCAAAATATGATCTTGAATATATCACACCTGAATATAGAACCCACCTGAAGAACAGATTTGATGCATTAGACAGACGAGAAGGATATCACGTGGGGTAAGGTGGAGGGTCAGAGAAAAAGAGGAAGACATCCCAATGAGATGGATTGGCCACGTGGCAGCATAGATGGACTCAAGCGTGGAAACAGTAGTGAGGTTGGCCCAGGATCGGGCAGTGTTTCATTCTGCTGTGCATAAGGTCGCTGTGAGTCGGTACCAACTTGAAGTCACCTAACAACAACAACAATAACAAAGACTGAAGACCAGAAGAATTGTAGGATGACATCAAGAACATCATACAGGAAGAAAGCAGAAGGTCATTAAGAAGACAAGAAAGAAGGACAAAACCAAAAAGAGACTCAGACTTTCTTTTCAGCATACAGATACTAAAGCAAATCAAAGAAGTGAGGAGGTACAACAGCTGAACAGAAAATTTCAAGGTCAGCTCAAGAAAACAAAGTCAAATATTATAATGAAATGTGCAAAGACCTGGAGTTAGAAAACCAAAAAGGAATAACACACTTAGCAGTTCACAAGCTGAGGGAATTGAAGAAAAAACTGTAGCCTCAACTTGAGGTAATGAAGCATTCTATGGGGAAAATATTGAAGGATGCAGAAAGCATCAAAAGAAGATAAAAGGAATACAGAGAGTCGCTGTACCAAAAAGAAATGGTCGATGTTCAACCATTTCAAGAAGTAGCATATGATCAAAAGCCAATGATGCTGAAGGAAGAAGTCCAGTGTACACTGAAGGTACTGACAAAGAACCAGGAATGGATGGAATACAAATTGAAATCTTTCAACAATCAGTGGTAGTACTGGAGGCACTCACTCATCTATATCAAGATTTGGAAGACAGCTACCTGGCCAACTGACTGGAAGAAATTCATATCTGTATCCATTCCAAAAACAGGTGGCCCAACTGAATGTGGAAGTCATCAGCCAATATTATTGATATCCATGTGAGTAAATTTTTACTAAAGATAATACATTAACAGAGAACTTCCAGAGGTTCAACTCAGATTCAGAAGAGGACATGGAACAAGGGATATCAATGATGACATCAGATGAATCTTGGCTGAAAGCAAAGAACGCCAGAAAGATGTTTAACTGTGCTTTAGTGATCATGCAAAGGCTTTCTTTCGTGGTTCTAGAAGCTACGGACAACACTGCAAAGAATGATTATTCTGGAACACTTAATTGTGCTCATGAAGAACCTGTACATAGACCAAGAGGCAGTTGTTCGAACAGAACAAAGGAACACTGTGTGGTTTAAACTGGATGGTTTAATACAAAATGATGTACGCCAGAGTGGTATTCTTTCACCATACTTATTTAATCTGTATGTTGAGCAAATAATCTAAGAAGCTGAATTATATGAATGCAATATCAGGATTGGAGGAAGACTCATTAACAACCTGTGGTACAACCTTGCTTGCTGAAAGCGAAGAGGACTGAAAATACTGATGAAGATCAAATAACCACAGCCTTTGTCATGGGTTTAATTTCAATGTAAAGAAAACGAACATTCGTACCACTGGACCAATAAACAACATCCATATAAATAGAGAAAAGATTGAAGGTGTCAAAAGACTTCATTTTGCTTAGATTAACCATCAACACTCATGGAAGCAGGAGTCAAGTAAGTAAACAACATATAGCATTAGGAAAATCTGCTGCACAAAACCTCTTTAAAGTATTCAAGAGCAAAGATGTCAGTTTGAGGTCTAAAGTGTGCCTGATGCAAGCCATGGTATTTTCAATAACCTCATATGAATGCAAAAGTTGGCCAGTGAATAAGGAAGATCATAGTAGAACTGATACATTTGAGTTATGGTGTTTAAGGAGAATATTGAAAGTACCATAGACTGCCAAAAGAACCAAGAGATCTGTGTTGGAAGAAGCGCAGTCAGAGTGCTCCTTGGAGGCCAGGATGGCCAGACTTCATCTCTCATACTTGGACATATTGTCAGGAGGGACCAGTCCCTGGAGAAGAGTATCATGCTTGGTAAAGTGGAAGGATGGATAAAAAGAGGAAGTTCCCCAAGTAGTTGGATTGGCATAGTGGAAGCAGCAACCTAAGAATAACAACAATATAAATCAGAAAATTTTAAAGTCAAAATAAAACTATGAAAACAAGAAGCTGTGCAATGGAAGCTGCTCAAACTGAAAAAATCAATGCAAGTAAAACAGACTTGCCTGGTAAATGATTAAGTTACCAAGTGTCTAAGATAGAATAGATACCATTAAAAAATATAGTCAATATAATATAGAATGGAAAGGAAGGGTATAAAAAAATGAAACCTACATAAAGAAAGTAATAGATAAGAGAGAAAGTGGTGTTATAAAAATAAAGAACAAAATAATGGAACAGAACTACTATATAAAGTTATACTTAGAAAAAAATTCCTGAAATAAATGAGTAATGATTTTCATACTGAAAGTACTTGTATTTAGAAAAGTAGACCTAGAATTCTCATTAGCCTGATAACAAATTATTACACACTTAAAAAGTCCTGTACTGGGTCGCTATGAGTCGAAACCAACTCCACCGCACATAACAACAACAATAACAAAAAGTCCTCTAGATGTCCATTCAAAAATATAAATGACTTTACAAAGAAAAACAAATCAAGTTCTAAAACAAGACATTTTAAAGAAACTCATGGGGGGAAATGTGTCAAGTTGTCCTTCAATGTATTAAGTATTTAGAGTAAAGACTAACAATTCATCACAACTGGACCAATAAATAACATCATGAAAAATGGATAAAAGATTGAAATTGTCAAATATTTCATTTTGCTTGGACCCACCATCAACACTCATGGAAGCAGCAGTCAAGAAATCAAATGACATTTTGCATTAGGCAAACTTGCTGCACAAGACCTCTTTAAAATGTTGAAGACCAAAGATGTTAGTTTGAAGACTAACATGTACTTGACCCAAACCATGGTATTTTTCAACAGCCTCATATACAGCATGTGAAAGTTAGACAATAAGGAAGATCATAGAAAAATTGATGCATTTGAATTATGGTGCTGGAGAAGAATTTTAAAGGTACCATGGGCTGCTAGAAGAACAAACAAATGCTCCTTAGAAGCCAAGATGAACAGATTTTGACTCTCATATTTCAGATATATCATCAGGATATATTCTCCAGTCCCTGGAGTAGGACATCATGCTTGATAAAATAGAAGGTCTGAGAAAAAGAAGGACACCCCCAACAAGATGAATGGGCTCAAGTATAGCTGCAATTGTGAGGATGTTGGAGGACCATGTTGTATTTAGTTCTGTTGTACATAGAGTTACTATTGTTAGGAAACAACTAAATGGCATCTAACAACAAAATATGTAAAAACCATTCTTAGCTCACATCCCTTACACAATAGGTCACTCTTCTTAGTTTGTGTACTCCTGCACTAGAAACAAATTTATGCATGTAAAAAATAAGAGACTAGTGTACTCAAGGACTTTTCCTACCATAGGTTGAAGTTCATGATTGAAGAAATGATTAAAAATAAGTAGCAGTAAGGGTGAAACATTTAATTATTGATTTGAGACTAAAACAAAAGTGAGGGAACAAGAATAGAAGAAAAGTATATCTGTAAGTATCTAAAAAACACATCTAAAAAATAAAGGAAAGGAGAAGAGTGGGACAGAGGTAAAAGTTAAAACTGGGTTTTTGGTCCTGGTGTGGTGCTGTGGGTTAATGTGCCAGACAGCAAAGCCGTTTGAACTGCAAGTTCGGCGGTTCAAGCTCACCAGCTGCTCCTTGGAAATCCTATACAGGGTTGGTATGGGTCGGAATCGACTCAATGACACTTAACAACAACAAATTATAACAGGTGGAGTCCTGGGTGGTGCTGTGGGTTAATGCGCCAAACTGCAAAGCCATTTGAAATGCAAGGTTGGTGGTTCAAGCTCACCAGCTGATCCTCGGAAACCCTATACAGGGCTGCTATGGGTCACAACCGACTCGAAAGCACTTAACAACAACAAATTATAACAGTTGGTAGTCAGAGAAATATTTTAAAGGTATATTAAAAACAGAAACAACTTTTTGAAGAAAAGTGACTATCACAAATGTTAAAGACTTCGTTGTGTTTGGATCTACAATCAACATTCATGGAAACAGCAGTCAAGAAATCAAACGATATACTGCACTAAGAAAAGCTGCTGCACAAGACCTCTTTAAAATGTTCAAGAGCAAAGTTATCAGTTTGAGGACTAAGGTGCGCCTGACCCAAACCATGGTATTTTCAATTGCTTCATATGCATGTTAAGTTGGACAATGAATAAAGAAAACCACAGAAGAATGGAGGCACTGAGGTATGGTGTTGGACAAGAATATTAAAGTACCATGGAGTGTCGGCAAAATAAATCTGTGTTGGAAGAACAGCTAGGATGGTGAAACTTTATTTCTCATACTTCAGACATGTTATCAGCAGGGACTTGTTGTTGTTGTTAGGTGCCATCAAGTCAGGACCAATTCATAGCGACCTTATGCACAGCAGAATGAAACACTGCCCAATCCTGGGCCACTATCGTTGCCATGCTTGACCCCATTGATGTTGCCACTTTGCCAATCCATCTCGCTGGGAGTCTTCCTCTTTTTCTCTGCCCCTCCACCTTAACAAACATGATATCTTTCTCCAGTGACTGATCCCTCCTGACAATATATCCAAAGTATGAGAGACTAAATTTGGCCATCCTGACCTCCAAGGAGCATTCTGGCTGCACTTCTTCCGACACAGATCTGTTGGTTCTTTTGGCAGCCTATGGCACTTTCAATATTCTCCTCCAACACCATAACTCAAATGCATCAATTCTTCTATGGTCTTTTCTCATGCATATGAGGTTATTGAAAATACCACGGCTTGGGTCAGGTGTACTTTAGTCTTCAGACTGACATCTTTGCTCTTCAACACTTTAAAAAGGTCTTGCGCAGCAGATTTGCCTAATGCAATATGTCATTTGATTTCTTGACTGCTGTTTCCATGAGTGTTGATAGTTGATCCAAGAATGAAGTCCTTGACAGTGTCAATCTTTTCTATGTTCCTGAAAAAGGACATTATCCTTGGTAAAGTAGAGAGTCAAAGAAAAAGAGGAAGACTTCCAATGAGATGGATTGACACAGTGGCAACAGTAATGGGCTTGTACATAACAATTATGAGGATGGTGCAGAGCTGGGCAGTGTTTTGTTCTGTTGTGCAAGGGTTTCTATGTGTGGGAGTGGACTCAACAGCATCAAACAGCAATGACAATCACAAATGTATTAAAATAAAGGTAAACACCAGAGTTGGCAAAAGAGGTAGCAGCATGGAGCGATCACAGTGGGCTTCCCTGCCCATAGGACAAGTAAAGCTGAGTGTCTCTAGGCAGGAGGCTGACTTACAGAACTGGATACCCTTTGGGTATTCTAGCAGAGTCTAAGAACCTTGTAACAACTTTTCTAAGAAGGGCAGAGGCCAAGGGTCCTCTAGCTGAGTAACCTCTATTTTTCACATGTATAAAATACATAGTTATGATTTTTAAGCAATATAAGTGTTTTACATAATCAAAACAAACTTTGTTTTTCTGTTGAGAGCCATTAAAAATGAGCTAAATAAATGGAGAAATACACCAAGTTCATGGACTAGAAACCAAATGTTATAGAAATGACATATTTTCCTTTAATAGATTAAATTTTAACAAGTAAAAACAGGTGTTTTTGTATACCATGACAAGTTTATCTAAAATTCTTATGTTGTTTGTTGTAGTTAGGTGCCTTTCAGTTGGTTCCCACCGATAGTGACCCTATCGATAGTGACTTCCAAGAGGGGCTGGTGAGCTGTAACCGCTGAATGTGCAGTTCAAACCACCTTGCAGTCTAGTGCATTAGCCCACAGCACCACACCAGGACTCTGGGAAAATTCTTATAAAAGTACGAAAAACCAAAATAGCAAAAACACTCTTGTAGAACAATTTGAGAGACCTTGATCTAAACCCATTGCTTTTGAAGTGATTCCAACTCACATTGATTCTATAGAACTGAGCCAAATAAACAGCAGATTAATGAAAATAGCGATTAGAGATAATAATAATGAAAACTATAAAAAAAAAATGAGGTTTTAAACTTACATCAGAACAGACTTATGACAGTCACTGAAATAGAATCCCATCATTAAGTTGGAAACTACCTAGGCACCAGAAATCTTAGACATTTTAATCTATAATTTGATATCAGTTTCAGTATTAATATTATCTTACAATAACACATTTAAGCAAAAATCTTGAAATCATACCTGATTGTTCTCTCTTCTACCGACATCAGCAGTACCATCTTCACTTTTCCAGGGACACTGACTTAAAAGGAATGACATAGTTAAAAGTCATATTAAAATATGATTCCATGTATATTTGTTTTTCATATTTTAGAAATTTTATTTGACAGTCTGCAAATAGAAATATAACATTAAGAAAAATACTTGAAATAAAATGTTTCAAACTCGTTACTAATATAAACTGCATTTAGTATGTATTAATAAAATATTTCATTATGTTATAGCTAAATTCAAATTGGAGTCCTGGATGGTGCTGTGGGCTAATGTGTCAGACTGCAAAATTGTTTGAACTACAAGGTTGGTGGTTCAAGCTTACCAGTTGCTCCTTGGAAACCATATACAGGGTCACTATGGGTCAGAATCAATTCAATGGCACTTAACAACCAACAACAAATTCAAATCATATGTATACAAGATAAAATAACTATAAATATTATAAACAATTTTTATTTTTGTGTGTGAATGATAATGATAATTTCCCAAATCCCTTTTCCCAATTTCAAAAGACTATATGCAAAACTCACTTAAGTTTATCAGGGGCTACAAAAAGTTCATGGAAAAAATTTCATTGCCTTTTAAGTCTATTTTCCATGATAAACAGACTTAAAAGATTATGAAAATTTTTAAACAAGTGAAATTTTCTACGGAAAAATTTCATTACTTTTTAAGTCTGTTTTCCATGATAAATAAACAAGTGAAATTTTTCCATGAACTTTTTGAAGCCCCTTTGTATAATATTGAATGAAATGATATGAGTGTGAAACTCAAACACACTGATTGGTTCTACCCATAAAAGAGTCCTGGTGTAGTGCTATAGGATAAGCACTTGACCGCCACATCAGTTTGAACCATAAGAATGGCAGTTCAAATTCACAAGCTGCTCCCCAGAAATCCTAAACATAGAATTGCTATGAGTTGGAATAGACTCCAGGGCTCTTACAATTACAACCCACAAAAGAATCCAAGAGAAGCAGAAATTTTAGCTCTAACAAAGACAAATAAAGATAGGAAATTTTTTGTCATCAGGTTGCCCCTGATAACAGAAAGATTACAATATAAATAAATTTCAATACTAAATCATCACTCATTAATTTTGGAAAAATGCAAGCATACTACTAAGTAACAGTAATGATTGAAATCAAGGAATTTAAATGAAAAATATGAGTAATTTTACTCACACTTTTCCTCTAGTTAGAAGTCCTTATGTCAGTCCTTGGATATCTTATTTGTTTTCTTATACTTTAGAAGATGACATGTATAATCAACATCTATGATAATTACCTGTTTTTGTTGCTAAAGTAATCAGTATTTGACTCTTCCAATGATCCCAGCAATTCAGAATTTCTAATTTGATTTTTTCCAGTCTGGCTTTCTGCTGGAGTGGTTTTCCCCTCTGCTAGTACAGATGTTCATCCACGGCAAATAAAGTTTAGAGTATTGAGAAAATATTAAGATAAAAATTTGTTTTTATACTTTTATACCATAATTTTGCTTCATATTTCAAAACCTCCATGAATTAACTATACTTGGTATAAGACAACAATTTCTAAAGTGAACTTTATGAAACATTAAAGTGTTCAACAGCAAAGATATCAGTTTGAGGACTAAGGTGTGTCTGACCCAAGCCATGGTGTTTTCAATAACATCATATGCATGTGAAATGTGGACAGTGAATAAAGAAGACCACAGAAGAATTGATGCATTTGAGCTGTGGTATTAGAGAAGAATATTGAAAGCACCATGAACTGACAGAAGTACAAACAAATTTGTGTTTGAAGAAGTACAGCAAGAATTCTCCTTAGAAGCCAAGATGGCAAGACTTTGTCTCTCGTACTTTTGGCATGTTATCAGGAGGGACCAGTCCCTGGATGATATCATGTTTGGTAAATAGTCAATATTCTGTTGCTGACAGTATTCCACTGCTATTCATAAGGTTTTAAGTGAGTTAATATTCAGAAGTAGTTCATCTCTCCTTCTTCCTACCCTGCCTTTGACTGGAAGCTCAGTTGAAATCTATCTACTGTAGGTGACCCTGCTAGTATTTAAAATACCTGTGGCTAATGTCCACAGTAACACGCAAACCACCACAGTATGACAAACTGAGAGGCAAGTGGTAGTTCTGATTCATAGTATTCTTTAATTTCAGAAATTGCTTAATTTTATTTAACCTATAAATTGGCTTTAAAAAGTTCATAGAAAAATTATATAATAATTTAAATATATAAATTCTATAATCATTTAGAAAAAGATGAACCTATACTGAGTAATATCCAATCTGTCTAGGCGGGACTGATGAAAGGAAAAACAGATTGGTCTCTTGTGATATAATAGTGAATAACTGTTATCAGGACTGATTGTAAGGGTTGGAAATGTAAAGGTAGACGTTTTGTGGCAAGGAGGTGAGTGATTTACTTTGCAGTCTAGAAGCAGAGGTCCCTGGGACTTCCAAGGGAGAAGAGCAGAGAGTGAAAACCTACCCAGAGAAGCAGTGATGCCAGTAGCTAGACCTACCCAGAGAAGATGATATGGAGAGATGGAGCAGCTGGGGACTTTAGACCCAGAGAAGAGAGGGGCTGTGTGCTGACAAGTGGGAAGCAGGCTTGCAGGGTATACCCTGTGGTTGGTTGATGATGCATGGAGGGGATTGTAAACATGGCAATGAACCAATATAAGATAGGATGAATGTAAAACTAATGTTTTCCATGAAACTATCACATAATTCACAATAAAACATTTTTAAAAAAGCAACAACAAAAAACAATATCAAAATGTGCAAGGATAACCCCCATCTAGTTCTGTACATTTCTGAAGGTGGTATTTCCATCTCTCTAATCCTTGCCCTGGTGTGGCACTGTAGGATAAGCACTGGACTGTTACTCTGAACGTTGGTGGTTCAAACCCACCGGTCTTTCCTCAGAAACCCTATACAACGTTGCTGTGAGTTGGAACTTAACAGCACTTCCCTGAAGAATTCTGAAGTTTTGGCATCCTCAAAGAACTCAAATTGTATTCCTTTTAAATGTCGAGTTCAGGGAACAAAAAGAGGTCTTAAGGGGTAAAATTAAGGCTTCAGGTTGTAGGATAAGTTTTCCCAACAAAATTCTTCTATAGGAAAATGAGTAGGTGCACTGTCATGACAGAAAAAAAAAAAATTCCTAACTCTTTTCTCCCCAATGCAGCTTTCAATTTTCTTAAAACTTCTTCCTATTGAGTCCCTGCGATCGTCTTCTATCCTTCAAGAAAATCTGTCACTTCTAGAAATTCCAAATCACAATTGCCATAACCTACTAAACGTCATCTCTGCCTTGAATTTAACTGACCCAGCAGATTCCCTTGAAAGCCACGGTTTTGCTTGAACTCTTTTTTTTGAAGGCACTCTAATGAAACTAAGGTAAGTATATTACTAAGAGAACCTGGCTGCAGCCATCCACTGATCACAGAGACATGTTTTTAAGCATGTTTTGTTTGGAATAAACTCTTGCATGTATGAACTGGAACCCTAATAGCAATACTTTTTTACTTACTCTCATATGTAAAAAAAAAAAAAAACAAAACCAAAATACCCAAACCAGCTGTTGTTGAGTCTATTCCAACTCATAACATTACAGGAAAGAGTAGAACCTCTCTATAGGGTTTCCAAGGTTGTAAGTCTTTGTGGAAGCATATTGCCACATCTTTCTCTCACAGAGAAACTGATGAATTCAAACTGCCAATCTCTAGGTTAGCTGCCAGACACTTGAACCATTGTGTCATTAGACCTTCAAAAATAAGTGAAAAAATGGAATGAAAAGATATTGTAACTTCCATAGACTCTTGTCGACCTTGAGATGAGAGAGAGAAGAGGAAGGGCTGGTTGATCTGAAGTTTGGGGAGACTTGGGAACTTCTGAGCCCATGGACACTGACCTAGCCATGGAGCACTAGAGCTGAGAGTGAAGTGTCCAGCTTATATGAAGAGGGGGGAGACACACAAGAATGCCCAAATTTGCAGATAGTATCCATTTGACCTAGCTTTGATGGCTTGCTGACTAGAGCTCTACTAGAGGAAGATAAAGAAATTTGATAAAGGAAGCAAATGTAACTTATTACAGTTTGATGAACTTAGCCTATACTTATGGATGTGGTACCTCAAAATACCAACCAAGAGGGAAGGAGTCTTCACATCAAGGATCAAGCCTGTCCCTTCAGTACACAAGGTTGATGCTGTTGTTGTTAGGTGCCATCGAGTCGCTACCAACTCATAGCGACCCTATGCACAACAGAATGAAACACTGCCCAATCCTGGACCAACCTCACAATTGTCATGCTTGAGCCTAAATGCTGCCACTTTATGAATCCATCTCTGGGAGTCTCCCTCTTTGTCTCTGACCCTCCACCTTACCAAACATGATCTCCTTCTCCAGTAGACGTCCAAAGTGTGAGAGACAAAGTTTGGCCATCCTATCCTCCAAGGTTGATAGGAATGGGCAAATTAGACATTAGCTACCTAAAATGGGGGTGTGGTGGGGTATGTATAAAGGCAAAAAGTGGCTGGCTTACAAGTTTTCAAGAGGGAGTATAGTTCCAAAGTGTGTGTGTGGGGCGGGGGGG